ACACGAACGACAAAGGAGGCCGTGATCAAGGGATATCGAAGAACCTGCCAGCGCGCGCTCCCCCAACGTGCCGAATCTCAAAGTGGCTCCACCCGGCCCCGGGCACCGACGGCGCGCCAAGTACGTCACGAAACATGCTCGTGTCGCCGAGCAACCCCGCGCGCGAACCCCTGGATCGGCACCAACAAGTTCGGCAACCAGGACGGCCGTATCAACAACGGCGACTCGGTCGTCGACACGAACACCGTGTCTACGGCACCGACAACCTCTTTCGTCGTCGACGCCTCCATCTTCCCCGGCATGGTGACCGCCAACCCGTCCGCCTACTTTGTGGTCGCCGCCGAGCACGCCGCCTCCAAGATACTCGCACTCCCGCTGGCAAGGGCCAGCCCATCTACCAGCAGTGCGGCGGCCTCGAGTGGAGGGGCAGCTTCCAGTGCGCTGCCGGCCTCAAGTGCGTGGACCTGAACCCGTACTACAGCCAGGTAAGTTTTTCCGACAATAGATGCTCGACACTCTGCATACTGACCTCAATATGCAGTGCCTCAGCAGCTGAAGCGGGTGATATTGGTTTACGGAGAAGATAGGGGAAGAGAGGGTGTAGGCCCGGGGCCGAATTCGATTCACTGTCCATATTGACTTGCCTGGCTGTTCATATCAAGGTTTGGCACCATGCATCATGCCGTACATATCATTTCAAACTTTTCTTTTTTCGTGCGTCTTCCGTCACCTGCTTCTGCTCTGTCGTGGTGAGTGGGGGTGAACTGTGAGACATGGTCATCGCTATTGATGTTCTTGTGTTGCATATCGAACCGTGGCTTCAATTTTTGTCATGAGTGATCTTTGCCGGCCGCGTGTTGTTCAATGTGAGACCCTAGAAAGTCAGTTCTCGTGGTATTGTCAGCGGGAACATCCCACAAGTTACCGTGGGTACAGCCTTGCTCGTGGATGGGATGATCCTTTTGTAGTAGGATGACTACCAGTTACTCGTTTCAATCCCCATCTCATCACGCTCGTCTAGACACGAAGAAGCCCCGCCTAGCGACGTAGCCCGAAAGAGAACGCGAGACAATAGCAAGGTTTCTTCCAAAGTTGAAATACCGAGGTCAAATGGCTTGACATGAAACGACCACCCCAAAAGCGCATCCAGGTGTGAGTATCACAACCATGACACGGATATAGACACTAGGAGATTTCGTGTCCTTGGGCATACCGTGGTCTTTGTGTCATAAAAAGCTACTCGAGGCGATGAGGCTGCGACAATTCCAATTCGAAAGCCACGGCCGCTTGATTTGATGGACTTCTCACCGGTACAACAAAGTTATAAATCTGCTGCTACTGCGTTGGGTGAAGCAAGGGGATGTGTGCGCCGCGTTACGTCCTGCTCTGCTGTACATTATTGGGTCAAGAATGATGTTCAAGATCACCACGATGTCGCAGTACTGAATCGCCCGATTCACTATGGCCTCGAAAAAGTCTCTCAGTATGGAAAGCTTCATAGTGACTGCCCCGGCTTGCTGGTGTGGAAAAAAACACTCCAGCAAGAAGATCACGAAAAATCCAGTCGAGGGCCTCTCGCATCTCGTTGGGAATAGCTTCGATTGGCCACGATGCCTGCCCCTCGCCAGGTCAAGGATACCTACATGCCGCTGGGGCTTTGTGGGGTAGCAAAGTAAGGTTAGCGAGCGACGAGTGCGTGGCATTGGGGTCGCTCGTGCCACCACCGGGCCCTGACAGCTCAGCGGGCTAGATCAAGGGTCCCTTTGGCGTCCCGCAGTGTCCCGCAGTGGGGGCTGCGGGTGCGAGAAACGGCTCGGTCAGCGCAGAGGCGCATAGAGTGATGCCCGTCACTGTTGAAGGAGGTAAATAGTTGAGTGACGGAGCTGCCACATTTTGTAGGCGCCAGCATCGCATCCTAGGGTGGTGCTCACGGGTGAGCGATGGTCAGCGGGATGGCAGGCACTGTCGGCAGCATTCGGAAGAGGGGAGACAACTAACGATCTTGAGAAGTTGACGTGTCATGATGTGATGGGGAAGATTGACGGAAGATTGCTGACCATGATAGATAACGGTCAGAGGGGCAGATCAACAGTGATCACAGAGAAAGAGAGAGGCAAGAGGTGTGTTTCGTGAAGAACGAGACTAAAAGTACGGGACGATTAGGCGTTGAGAAGAGATCACGACAGATTGAAAAGTGCAAGAGGAGATGACGGAGAAGAGGAAGCGTAAGCAACAAATGGAGAATGACGAAAACATGGGAACGAGGCGCCCAAGGGGCCCAAGGGAAAGGGTGGGGAGATGAGGGAAAGAATGACACAGAGAAGAAGAGGAAGAAAGAGCATCCACCAAAGCCAGAAAGGGCCTGGAACACGGAGCGCGGGACACGGGCAGGAACCATCCTGCCCCAGTCCATCCTGGTGGCTTTCTGCGCGCTCGTGTCATTTGGGTCGAGTCTGTCGGGCTACGCTTGCCTCTTCCCAGGTGGTCCTTGACCTCTGGGGTGCCAACTGAGGTCGCAAGAGCAACTGGTGCAACATTCAGTCAGGCAGGCGCAGCTGGTCCGCCCCTCCCACGTATTCTGCGACGGCCTCCCCCCTCGACCACCCCCCCTTCCCATCATAAC